GTGCGTGTAGTAAATTGTGTGCGATCAGGAGAAAGGCTAGAGAAATCTACAGGTAATTTTTGATGTGCTCAATATGTGCTGTCCATGTCCGTGCTCGTGCTTGTGCTCACTGTTCTGGTGTAGTCGTGTTAAATCGTTCGCAGCAATTCACCGTGCCCAAACGCAGCAACTTCTCCCCAACGGACGGAATTTCCCGGCAATCGCCAACCGGCCGGAAGCGGACGGATCCGTTACGTAATCGGTCCGAGGAGACTCAGGGGAGCTCCACGTGGACACGGTCCACCCGCCGGTTCGTCAACCTACCGGCACGGCAGAGTAACCGCCATCGCATCGGCGTGTGAAACGCCATTGTCAGCGAAGCACCTCCATTCATCGGATCACCATCGACGATCACTAAAGAGTGCGTCGAACCTGTCGATAGGTCATCGACTGTGACCATCACGTAAATCAACTTCATCTGGTGAGTCAAGACTTTTCTATTTTTGGAGTGTGGCGTCCGGCGAGGGCGCCACGGAGTGATTTTTTGCCAGTCTAAGACTGATGAGCGAGTAGCGCCGAGTTTCCGTGACACGCTTTTCCGGAACTCGTGATGTGGCATTCCCGCCTTTGAAAAGTAACGTTTTTCAACGCCAACGTCGTTGTCACCAGGAGCACAGACTCGTTTGGAGCTGAGTTGCCGATAAAGTGACGTCACACACATGAACAAGTAGAGCACATGAACACGTTAGTTAGGAAGAGAGAAATCGCACACACATAGGAGATAGGAGCGAACACACACAAGTAAACCGAAATGAATTGAAACATGTAAATACATATAAGTAGGATAATTAATGTTCGAACACCCGTTATACACTAATTATACCGCCTGAATAGTTCCGTAATAATAAATGTTTTCGTAAAATGACCATCTCCTTAGCTTTAATTAATTGAATGTATTCGACATCACTTCGCGTTCTCCGCTGTAGTTTTCGTGTCCCGTCCTCATGTTGAGAGTTTGAATGTTCGGGAGAGTAGTCCACTTCCAGATCGGGGTGACGTCTAGTGGCAAGTGACGAGACTGCCGATGATGATAAATTCTCTTTGTAGAGGTTTTTAGGTATGGGTGAGCTCTCACCGACTCTCTGAGTGACTCTCGTGGTTGTGGTTTCATGAGGATAATAGGGTTTTCCCGTTTTGGACGTTTAGTTGAAAGCCGGCTTGCCTGATCCGTAAATCCTTTCTAGGAAATTTAATGGACTCGCCCTTAGGAGAGTCTCAACCGGGCAAATTTACATTGGGCGTGTGGTCTCCCTTGTGGAGTGGCGCTTAAGCCACACTTTTTTAGAGACGGATCGCCCGGGCTGGCTACAAATTCACCACATCTTTCTAAAAAGGATGACAGTGATTGTAGCAAATTTTTTCAGCTTCAACTTTGTTGACAACTACTTTTCAATCAAATGTAAGGAACAAAAGTTATTAATGATTCAAGTCACTGATGTCTTATGATTATACTCAATCAACTGTTCAGCAGGCAACATTGGTGTTTCTGGTGCGTAGAATAGAGCACAAAAATCATGGCTACTATGTCACACTGCAGAATACAGTGTTGCACACAGAACAGCTGCTTGATCATGCCATAAGATTATCAATCTCTTAAACAATTAATAGGAATTTAATTTGACATTTGGCTGAAAAACGATATTCGGCAAAGTTGCAGCTCGTAAGAATAGTTATAAAAATGTTAGAAAAAGCAATATGGAAAATGGGTAGAAGACAATGAACAAAAAGTTTGGTTTTCCCATAGTAACTTCCATATAAACTTCGAATAGTTTGTGCCAAGTCAGTTTCTTACCAAATGAGTTTAAATTTTGGGAGGCTAATCAGGACTTGATTTGAAACCGTTTGAGCACTGTGGAGCGAAAATTTCAAATTTTGCATCAGTCTAGTGTTTAGTGTGTTGTACTTTTTGACTATAGTTCTACGATGTTTAACAAGAATCCTCGGCTCTGTAAAGTTAATTCAATTGAGCCTCATTAAATGAATTAATACACAAACAAATCTTTGAAACCAGATGTAGAAAATAAGTTCTAATACCGTGGTAATTTGATTTATGTGTTGATGAAGAAATGGAGATGCTTTACCAGTATTTGGAACGTTAGTTTGACTTATCGTTTGTGACTCACTCTCTGAGTAAGATTCGTTTTTAGTACCTGTTTTTTTCTTAAGCTTTCAATGTACAGCGTATTGCCGTCGTCATTCATTTGTTTTAGATTATTTTTCTCTCTATCCGCGTGAGTGTCTATGTGGGTAGGTGTGATACAGGAACACACAAATCAATGTATATATTTGATATTTTACTAAAACTCTCAATAGTGATCTGATTCTACCTTATATATTTTTTTTTTCAATAAACTACTAATACCGTATACCGTATTTGAGACTGCGTAGACAATTACATTTTTTGGAAATTTGTATGGACCGGCAAGTGTCTACACGGTTTATGAACAGTAGACTGATGCAAAATTTGAAATTTCCACTCCACAGTGCTCAAACGATTCCAATTTGGGTCCAGATGAGCCTCCCAAAATTTGAACTCATTTAGTGAGAAACTGACTTGGCACAAACCATTTGAAGTTTATATGGGAATTACTATGAAGAAACCATAATTTCGGTTCTTATACATCTCAAAACTCACCAGTCACTCTACTTTAGAAAATGATAGCTTATCTTGTTGAAAATAAAACTATTAATGATTCAAGTCACTGATGTCTTATGATTATGCTCAATCAACTGTTCAGCAGGCAACATTGGTGATTATGGCGCGTAGAACAGAGGACAAAAATCATGGCTACTATGTCACACTGCAGAATACAGTGTAGTGTTGCCCACAATACAGTTACTTAATCTTGCCATAAGATTATCAATCTCTTAAACAATTAGTAACTATTTAATTTGGTTTGGCTGAAAAACAATGTTCTGCAAAGTTGTAGCTGATAAAAAATCCCATAAGAATAGAAATAGAATTTGTTAACAGTACAATATGTAAAAAGGTTAGAAGACAATGAACAAAAAGTTTTGTTTTCACATAGTAATTTCCATATAAATTTCAAATGGTTTGAGCCAAGTCAGTTTCTTATCAAATGAGTTTAAACTTTCGGAGGCAAATCAGGACCCGATTTGAAACCGTTTGAACACTGTGGAGCGAAAATTTCAAATTTTGCATAAGTCTAATGAACAGTCTGTTTTAGTTACAATGTATGGTCAACAAATGTATCGAAGCACACTCAAAATTTTATTGCTGTTAACAAATTTGATGACCACATTTTTATTTAATTTTTAGGTACATATGACCCACCGTGTTTTATAATAAATTGTGACAGTAGATTTCGAATTTTAATGTCGTTAAAACAATTCTTAGATTATATCAAAGTGCCCTTGAAAAAAAAAATACGTGAACCTAAATTATGAATGTGAAATAATTCGGGCGTTAATATGGTAAACTGCCAGAATAATACGACGTGAACATTAAAAATGCGTCGTCAGTTCCGTCGTCGGTGAGTTCTAAATGATTCTTATTGTTTCGGCAGCCATTATTATTATAAAGTTTTTTATTTATCTAAAATATATTGAAATCTGTTAACCACCCCAACCTTGAAAGCTAGCAACCAATAGAATAGGAATAGAAATACACATGCGATTAAGCCTTTTTTTTCCAGCTGAGCGCTACTGTCCAATCTGCAGGATACATATACCACTAATAGTACACACAACCGATTCTAGTCTAAGAGAGATAAATGAGTAATGTTTGAGTTTTTTTGCTTCCAATTACATAAAAATGAGGAAAAGAAAATGAGCGAGAAAATGTTTAGATAAAACTGTGAAAATTAGTGAAGAAAATCAAAGGGAAGGAAATTTTGTGACATTGTGAGTGAACTGTGAGTGAGTGTGTTTCGGTGAACGTGTTTTTTTTCGTTGAAAGTTTAGAAATGTGCGTAAAACTCTAAACTTCATTCATTGATCTATGTGAAGAAAGGATGTTTTGCCTCAGAGTTTGTGACAGGGGTTTTGCGCGTGTTTGAAATGTGTTTTAGGAAAGAGTGTGCGTGTTTATGTGTGTGTGTGTTTGTGTAGGAAATAAGGATAATCAACGGAAAAAATCGAAGATAACTGAGAAAATTACCCGAAAAAAAAACATACACGTTTATATCACAATAACAACGACGTGTTGGAAATCATACGGAGTTATACGGTTTGCGTTGAACGAAAAAATAGTACTTTTTGTCCCTTCCGGAGTACAAGTTTGATAAAAAGCGATTTTGTGTGTATACAATTTGCACATTCCTATTATAGTATTTTAGAAATGAAACTTAACTAACTTTCATATTGTACTTAGGAACTTAAATTAGTCTCAAAATAGGATACTTAAATAGCAACAAGTTTAAATACAAAAACTGAGTATCAAAAATAAACCGAAGCGTGTTTGCGTAAATGTAGAATGCTTGTATCTGTTCCCTATGGCTAGGGACAGCTCAAAACGGCACGTTTATTTGATTTGATTGTAAAACTTTTTTTGATGTTTTGGCTACCAGGTAAGATGGAATTCAGGCAACGAAATTGAGGAGAATTTATTGAAAAAATGGAACATTAATTTTACATTCGTGGACCTTCTGGAGGTATTTCAGGAGGGAAATCGTAGAATACTTAGATTCCATTGTTCAAGAGTTGGATGGTTAATTGAAACAAACAAAGCCAATACCATACGTGTTGATTTTCCAAGAAATTAGTTGAACCGTTAGAAATGAACAGAACCACAATTAAAAATGAAAACTAAAACATACGAAACAATAATGGAAACCAAAACCAAATCCAAACCAAGATAAGTGGAAAAGAAAAGTTAATAACAATAAGGAAACACATAGTCCATATCTTTTCCTGGAGAAAGAAACAACAACCAACCAACACAGAGAGACAAATATATCGAACGAAAGACGAATAAAATGAAAGAAAAATCTGTGTCATACCAGGTGATGGGGGTGTGCTACCTCGTGATGGTTCCGCACCTGGTACTCCAGGTGCTCCTAAATTACCGCTAGATGATGATCCCTTACTTGTATATAGCTTGGATGAACGTGCCGCCGACGCCTGCGGGGGGATCCAGGAAAATGCGGGAAAAATTGAATTGCGTTGCACCGTTAGTTCGTGTTCGTGTTGTATGAGATTCGATGAACCATCCGCACGGATCTTACCTGCATTCGTATGTGTTCTAGCTTAACGGGACTGGGAATGAATCCCACTTCACAGCCTTCTTTAACCAATCGCCCGATCCACCAATTATTGTCATATTTCTCCTGTAAAGCGCGGTGGAAAATGGGGCAAATATAGGTTTTTTGATTAAAATAATGAGATGGACTACTAACCTTGATATGAAGAAAATCGCCGACCTCGAACGAGACTGCACTGCCGTGAACCGGCGAGTCGTCATCCAAACTGCCATCGTATGATACATTCGTCCTCACAGCAAATGCAACAGGTTTACTCTGTCGATGAAAGATGGAAGGTGGCGGTAAAGTAGCTGATTTTTCCAAGATACTGTGTATCAATTGGGTAACGGAACGAATGAGAATATTGTTAAAGCAAGCGGAATGTGTAATAGATATTCATTGGTTGGCATTGTGAAAATGGTTGATGGAATTTATATGCTAACATGTGGAAAGTGCCAACTAAACGGTTGACCAAATCACTTAGACGAAGAGTTGCATCATTCAATTAAATTTAAATTTGGAGATACATAGGATTAATACTGAGGTTCTGACCTTGCAGTAAAAGCACTTTTTTGAATACACTGAATTTGGTCTTAATAACACTGCACTCAAAAAAGTTCACACGTCTGATTGAAGTGTTAAAACATTTGATTTTTTAAATGCACAATCATATTTATTTGGTTTCATGGTTGAATGTGTTCTACACGTTGATTTCTAGTGTTTCAAACTTTGAAATTTTGATAATTTAAGTGTATTGCACATTGAATCCCACTACAGTTCGAAAAACTTCAATGTTTTGGATTTCAATGCGATGTGAATTGCTTGAAAACATGTGTTGTGACTTCATCCTTATCAACCTGCCTCATATATGAGAACAACCGTGGCCCAGGGAGGTCGAGCTAAGACAACGGCAGCAGCACAACCAGACACTTCAGGATCAATTCCCAACCCGCATAAACGCGAACCATCACATGACCTTACCGATAATGGTTATAAATTGTTTATAATCCCTGCTAAACTTCAACTGAAATGGTTATGGAACTTTACATGAACGTTTGTGTGATAAAGTTTTAACCTTATGTATTATGGTTTTTTGGAAGCGGACCTTACAAATAATGGGTTGTTAAGAACCATTACCATTCCAAATTATTGTTTTCTCCATACATTTTTGGAAAGAGAACTATATTAGAACGTTTTTACTTATGGTTTGAGAACATTAATGGTTATGGTTATGGTAGTCAGTAAGGTCCATTAATGGTTTTGTATTATCGCTCAAATTTACGTGAAATATATCGTGAATTGGTAATCAGTAATTTACAGGCAACCAATTCGCGATATATTCCACATAAAGTTGATCGATGTTACAAAACCATTCATGGACCTTACTGGTTACCATAACCATTACCATTAATGTTCTCAAACCATAAGTTAAAAGGTTTTAGTATAGTTTTCTTTCCGAAAATGTATGGAGAAAACAAGAATTTTGAATGGTAATGGTTCTTAACAACCCATTATTTGTAAGGTCCACTTCCAAAAAACTATAATACTTAAGGTTAAAACTTCATCATTAAACGTTCATGTAAAGTTCCATAACCATTTCAGTTGAAGTTTAGCAGGGATTATAAACAATTTATAACCATTATCGGTAAGGTCAATTTATGGTTCGCGCTTATGCGGGAAATCAGACCCATTGAAAAGAGGCGTTTGTACACGCAGGCAAAAGAACGTAAGACATCTATAAGAAACACTTATGAATTTTCAGCCATAAGAAATGAGTGTGAATCTCATTTATTTGCCTTATGAAAAATAATGTTGACAAAAAACAAAAATCGGAGCAGACTGGAACCGGAAAATGGACGTAGAGATTAGGGGGCCCGTGTGTTGACCACTCGTCTTTCAACGCTTGGGAAAATGAAATGGCGTATAAGAGCTACCTCATCTTACCCGAAATCATTCATAAGTCATGCTTGTGAAATTCATATATGTTTGTCATAAGTCGAGCCTTATGAAATTCTTAAGTCTATTTGCCTCAGTGTAAGCTTTGTTCTCTGGCAGCTTTGTTTATATTATATTTGTCGATTCAATTTTGGAGTCGGTAAAGTAGAAGTCGATAAAGTAGAATGTTGTACAACATTGAACTATGATGTGCAAAGGCTATTGATATCACACTCTTTGCTCGACCGTTGAGCTGTTCAGTCAGTATTTTCGCTCGAGTTCTTTTTTCGATTGTGATTCGTTTTGTGCTGCCGCGTTGCGCCAACAACGTGGACTTATTCACGTCATCGAACAAGCCACTGAAGGTGGTTTTGCGTGGATTACCGTCGTTCGAGGCGACCGAGGTTAAATCCGAGCTGGAGCGGCTTGGGCTCAAGCCTGAGGTGGTGTACCCGATGAGCCGGTGTTCCAACCACAACACCAGCTTACGTGACCAGTTGTTCTGGCGCACTTCACGAAGGGATCCCCCAGTCTTGCGGCTCTTAGATCCATAATCCGGGACTTGTTTCAGGTCATCATCAGTTGGGAGCATTACAAACCCCAACATAGTGATGTTACGCAGTGTATGAACTGCGGAAAGTTAAACTGTGGAAAGTGTGCTGGAACTCACTCAACGGCGTCCTGTGAGCAAGATGATGACATCGAGCCAACTTGTGTCAACTGCGGTGGAAACCACCAAGCCTCCAATCGCGGGTGTCCCAAGCGAGTGGAGTTCATGAATATCCGTCGGAAGGCTACTATCAACAATCAGCCCGGTCGCCTCCGTAATCATCGTTCGCCTCTTGCACTAACGGAAGTCCAGTAACCAGCTCTCCAGCCCCGTCGACATGTTCCGAACGTAGCCCCACTTCCGCTAAACAACCAACAATCCAATCGTGTGAACATACAAATGGTTCTCAACATTCGGACAGTTCAGCATTGTCTCGATACAGCTGCGACCACCGGCATCCACCGCCTCTGGTTTATGATACGCTGGTGCTGTCTCAGGTGAGCCTGTCGACGATTCTCCGTTCACCTCGGAGGAACTTGTGACGCTCGTGGCCGAGGTCATCATCATTATGCGCAACTGCAAGACTCGATCTGAACAGATACATGCTGCCCTGTCCCTTGTCACTAAGTATGGACCGTGAAGCCATCAAGATCGTAAATTGGAATGCTTGCTCCTTGAAGAGAAAAAATATCGAGTTTGTTGACTTTCTCAACGAACGGCACATCGACATAGCCGTCAACCCGAGCTGAACGTCTTCCTTACCGACTTTCGGCTCGTAAGGCTGAAAACTATCGAAGCCATCGGAGTTGAGGTGAACACATCGCTCGGTCCTATCACCATCTTAGCGATCTACTGCCCCATGCAAACCAACATTAGGGACGGCTCGGCCGCAGACCTCCGAAGAGACATCATCAAGCTAACACGACGGTGGCAAAATTTCATCGTCGCTGGCGACCTGAACGCCAAGCATCAAGCCAGGGGCAATAGTCGGCGAAACCAGAATGACACAATCTTGTACAACGATCTGCAGGAAGCTTACTACAACATCCTGTGTCCGGACACTCCCACCCGGTTGATTCGATCCGTAGTTCATGCCACCATCGACATCTTCATCAGCAACATTGGTGATAACATCTCTCAACCTGTCGTCTATCAGGAACTGAGCTCGGGCCACTATCTGGTGATGGCCGAAGTAGGTTCCTCGACCAATAGTTTCCCGGCGAAATTACCATCGTGTCAACTGGCAACAGTATCAGCAATCGATTACGACGTCCTATCGAAGTCGTTCAAAGAAGTTGATCAGTGTCTGCAAACCATCGAAGAGGCGATATCCCGTGCCAGGGAGCAACACGTACTAGCATCCAGACAGGTGAGTCATACTCTGAACCTTGACAGCCCAACCAAAGATCTTATCAGGCTCCGTAACACCATTCGTAGGCAGTTCCAGCGTTCTGGGCTGTCCCACTTGAAGACCAATGTCAATAGGCTAACCAAAAGTATCCAGGTCAGGATGGTAGAAGTCAGAAATAACGATTTTGCCAACAAGATTCGCTCTCTCCCAGATTGCGCAAAACCATTTTGGAAGATGACCAAAATTTTTAAAAATATGTCGAGACCGATCCCTCTGCTTTCCTCTGTTGACCAGAACTTGGAACCATCCCTACTCATAACCCCAGTAGAAAAGGCCAATGCTCTTTGCCAGCATTTTGTGATTTCACATAATCTTGGCCAAACCATGGTGGCCCCATGGGCCTACCGTACTGGAGGCAAAGTCTAAAGTCGCTGACATCCCCGTAGTAGTGCATGATGATAGTAGAATATCGACTGATGAGGTGATAGCAGCTGTTAGAAGCACTAAAAACATGAAGGCCGCGGGTATGGATGGTGTAGTCAACCTTGAGTTGAAAAACTTGAGTATTGACTTCTTCAACCATCTTACCGTTATCTTCAACAAATGTTTGGAGTTTGGCTACTTCCCTGCATGCTGGAAGTTAGCCAAAGTGATTCCAATACACAAGCCTGGCAAAGATCCTACCAGTGCTAAAAGCTATCACCCCATCGACCTCTTGTCCTCCATCTCGAAGTTATTCGAAAAATTGATACTCAGCCGGTTGCTGGAGTTCACCAACGAAAATAACATCTTACTCAAGGAGCAATTCGGTTTTAGGAAAGGTCATTCAACGATCCACCAGTTAAGTAGAGTTACTAACATCATCAAGCGGAGCAAGTCCGTTTCAAAAACATCGGCTATGGCATTGTTGGATGTTGAGAAGGCGTTTGACAATGTCTGGCATGATGGTCTAGTGTACAAACTGCATCGATGCAACTTTCCGACCTACCTCGTGAAGATCATCAAAAACTACTTATCGGGCAGATCATTCCAGGTCTACTTAAACAATGTCCCCTCTGGTACGTTCAACATTGATGCAGGGGTACCTCAGACGTTCCTGCCCTTCTGGGTGGTGGTATCTTGTTAATGTTCGCAGATTACACCTCCATCATCTATAATGGTCGAGTGATCCGTCGTCTGGCGAGTAAACCACAATCAGGCCTGGGTGTTCTGTCCGACTATTTCAAGAGCTGGAAGATTTGTATCAATGCAGCTAAAACACAAACCATTCTGTTTTCACACTCGAATTCACCTCGGCTTGTTCCACCTGCTAACGTCAAGGTCCATCTTGATAGCACTCCCATTGAATGGTCGAGTGAAGTAGTCTACCTTGGTCTCACCCTCGATGGCAAATTTCTATTCCGATCACATGTGGACAAGACATCCACCAAGTGCAACATC